TTATTTAATTAAGAATTATTTTTTAAAAATTCAATTAAAAATAATCAAAAACTATTTTTTAACTCTCTAAAACAATTTTTAATTTTAAACCCCAACAAACCATTGCATTTATGGTCAAAACGAATCATTTACATCATTAAAAAAACAAGAGATAAAAAAGGTGTTAGATACACAAAATTAGATATGTTGCAAAGTGGCAGAGCTTTTATATTCAACAGTTTTACCTACCCAACTAAACTAATACAGAAGATTAGCTGGTGCATTCCTAGTGAATTAAACTATAGCTTGTGCGTATGTTAAAACACTCCCTAACCAATAACTACCTGTACTAATGTGTGCTAACAATGGTACTTGTGCATGAACATCAACCATTGAATTGTATTATTTATTCTTTATCTTCACACTTTTTTAATACATATACTTCTAATCTAAGTAACATATACATGTATTTTACAACTGATTTGAATAAAGTTGGAATCCCCTACTATAACAGTATCGTAACATACAATAGAGGATGGCTATGATCGCTATGTCAGCAATCACAACCATCCCCTACTTTAAAACACGGTACTGTTATAACAAATAATTTATATAAGTTTTGGATATATTCTCTCCCACAAAAAAGAGTCCGCAGATATATTTGATGATTGTTGTTACGCCACGTTACTTGCACATCAAAAGTCTATGATTTAAACCTTAAGGAGTTGGCCTAGTGAAAAAGGCTTGGGTTGTGGAGCCTCATTAAGTTTCAGGTCTCAAATTCGATTCTCCTTAAGTGTGAAAAATTCCTTGAGGTCACGACTGCGGACATAGTCAGAGTTTTATCCGATCCGTGAGGGACCGCATTGCACATATCCCGTAGATTAGTCGGGATAAAGTTCAGAACACCCCGGTTATCCAAAAAAAAAAAAAAAAAAGTCTATGATTTAGCCCTATAATAGCTGTTGGATTAATACTCCATTTTTAGAGAAGAAGACATCTCTAATTTTTTTTTAATTCTTTACGTATATGTAATACATACAATTGTTTGCATGTGTGTGTGTATATATATACATGAATACATACGTATTGATATAAAAGCAAAGGATTAGATTAAAAGAAGAAGCAAGCTCAGCAACATGCCGGGTTCATGGACGTTTAGACATTTCTTCAAAAAAGGTACTTGACTTGTTTGGCTTGCCTAATATATATCCCATTCCCATTAATGCAGGAATCCAATACCTCACTGTAAGTGCACATGACCCCATCATCTATCTCTCTCTCTCTCTCTCCCTCTCCTTCTGGCTCTCCTCTCCCCCCACCAACCTTTAACTAACCAACTGTATTTTATTTTCTTGTCTTTAATTTCTTTTCCCTCCCCTTTTTTCCCCATCTTAATCTCAGATTCGGTTACCTACCCCCAAACATGTCACATGTTCTATCTCTCTCTACCAATGAGAAAGATGCTTAAATTCCATTTGTTGTTGATTAATATTAATATATATATTAAATAAGCCCATCTTGGTACTCAATCCTACCAGCTTCAGTCATACACAAGCCATAGTATATTTCTTTACAGAGTTGGTATTTCTAGGTGGAGGAAGATCCGCCATTCTTTCTGGAACCTAGCACTAGCACTAGATTCCCTGCACATTAATATTAATCATTTCAACTTTCAATCTACACCGTCTGATCACTGTTATCATGGTCCCACTTGTTGCCAAACTCAAATCACAATATATAGGGCTAATTTCATATAAAAATTTGATCATAAACTCCTAACTTGTTTAAGAAAACCCTATACGCTTCAAAACGTGATCAAATTGCTCTGAAATTCGTGTCGGACCGTTAACCTAACAATGAAATGATAAATTTAATTTTACTTTTTAATGTTAAATTTAAAACTAAAAATTATCTTTTTTTTTTTAAATTACAAAAATAATTTAGAGAGGGGTGAGTTTGAGAGGGGGTAAGATTAATATAATTAAAGGATATTTTTGTAATTAAAAAAATAAATTTAAATTTAACATTAGATAATAAGGTTAAATTTGTTATTTCACAACTGGGTTAACGGGTTGGACACGAATATTAGGACAATTTGATTACTTTTTAAAATGTAGTGAATTTTGTGAAACAGATTAAGAGTTTAGGCTCAAAATTTAAAAATAGTAGGAGTTTTATGAAATTAGCCCACAAATATATATATATATATATATATATATATATTAGTTACTAACTTTGCTTTTGGGTCAAGACTTCGTGTGTTTTTGGCGTGTTGCCTTAATTTGAATCTGAACAATATGCGCGCATGATATAGAAAATGAGCGTCGATTGGTTCTAAGAACAAGCCTCTTAAATATAATTATATGTAATGTAACTTTTTATTTTATTTTATTCATATGTTACGGCTTAAATTTATATATCATACTTTAATTTTTTCGCATGCACATATGACATCACCAATATCTGGGATAAAAATTTGTTAAATTGTTGAGTTGTGTGCGTTTATACTAAATTGTGTCAAAAGGTCAACTCCAAAATGAACAAGTGGCTCCTAAATCCCCACAAACCTTTTTTTTTTTTTACCCTTCCTAAATAAGTCCCCACATATTCAATTATGTAGCAAGTTGTAACAAGTCATACATAAAAGAGACCATTGTCCGGTGTTACAATTAATTATTGATGCGGAGTGGTAAAATTTATTTTTACGTATGTGTAAGATATAATTGGTTAATTACAGTAAAAAGAAAAAGATATAATTGTTTAATGTGCCATCTATTTGATGCATCAGAAGTAACGGTAATATAATAAATAGATAAATTTTTATTTATGCCACAAAATCTAATTAGTAGATTATATTGATGACATAGTGTTGTAGGTGCACCCAAAATTTTATCGTGAGAAAAATGAAGAGAGAAATCGAAAATAAATTTTTTGTCAAATTTCTGAATAAGACTCACACTTGAACTTATGCACGGACGGAGCCAGCTTGGGTTTGGGGGGTGCCGGTTGACCCATTAAATTATATATATATATATATATATAAAATATTACTTGTGTCCTCTTAAAAAAACATTTTCTTTCTAAAACACCCTTGGGATAATTTTTATTTTTTATTTTTTTACATATAAGCATATAAGTTGTAAAAAATTACTTTGTGCTTGTGAAACTAAATCCTTGCTCTGCCCCTATCACTTCGTAAATAATAATGAAGTGATAGGGACTTATGTCTAGAATTCGAAACACTCACGTGAGACTTGAGACGTTTTGTATTATCTCTTAAAAGAATTTGTTAAAAAAAAATTAAATTAAATTAAATTTGGTAGTCAATCATTTAACCATGCTTTTAGCGCCTAATCGAGTCAGAGAGCAAATAGTGCATCACTCCTAATCGAGTTGACACAGACATTAGTGCCTAGCATTAAGCTAGTCCAATACTTACTAGTATTAGGAGGATAGGACAGAGAACACTCCAGACCCTGATTTTCCTCCCACAAACTGTTCCTTTTTGTAACAACATATTCAACATATCTAATAACTGCTTTGTGCTTTGTCTTCCATTTGTCCAAAAGAGAGAACTTTTATTGCAAATCTAACTTTACTAACAAGAAAATACCCTCCCTACCCTTGCCACTATGTTTTAGTGCCTGTCTAGATCTACCATGGTTGTTAAACTTAAATACCCAACATTGGCCATGTGACCTACCAAACTTTTACAACTTTTTAAAACAATTTTGGCTCCTAAGAGCAAAATATCGGTCCCCCACCGAATCAATGAAGTGTTATTTTCTAGGAAAATATAAATACTTCTCCTATTGCAAGAAAACACATTACTACCAAAGAATTGAATGGTTCAGCCGTTATCATCTCTTATGCTTGGAGTTCGATCATCGATGGAGGTTTTGTGTGTTATTGCTTTAAGTTAAAAAAAAAAAAAAATACATTACTTTAAAAATCCTAAATGATTTTGAAACATCAATTAGATCAAAGACTATGTAACCAAATATATTTTTTCTCCAATAATCGGAGTGGTCTGTTTTACCCGACTAATCAATGGGACTCGAATAAGACGTCTTCCACATGTATCCTCCCTACCCTTGCCACTATGTTTTAGTGCCTAATCTAGATCTACCATGGTTGTTAAACTGAAATACCCAACATTGGCCACGTGACCTACCAAACTTTTACAACTTTTTAAAACAATATTGGCTCCTGAGAGCTAAATATCGGTTCCCTACAGTGTTATTTTCTAGGAAAATATAAACTACTCCTATTGCAATAAACCACATTACTACCAAAGAACTAAATGGTTCAGTGATATCATCTCTCACGTCTGAAATTCGATTCTTGGTGGAGTTGTGTGCATAATTGCTTTTAACTTTAAAAAAAAAATTACTAATCAATGGGACTCGAGTAAGACTGTATTCCATACGTATCGGGTAAAGATCAAATTATGTTCACGAGCGTGATTAACTTTAAAGAATTATTTACGTCTAAACGGACATGATATTTAATGAGACACCAAAACTTATAAAATGACATGTTAATCAAAAATAAATATAAAATAACTATAAATTTTTGTTCATCATACTCCCTCCGTTAAATATAATAAGCAATTTTAAAGGCATTTAGTCCTTCGCGAATAACCTAATACTGTACGTAATTCGGCTCAAAATGGCATCAAAAGTCAATTGATTTAAATTTGTCAACATTCTCTTAAGAAAATTTAAATTCTAAATAATAGATTATTATTATTCTGACAAAAAAGTCACACGCATTCATAATTGTTCCATCAACAATCAAATTAAATGATGAGACAACACTTAAACTAAGCCGTTAATTAGTTACAGATTATTAAATTTTATAATAATATTAATAGGAGTAATGATAAAAAATCAGACGACAGATCTGATGATTCTTTCGAATTTGGACTCCAAATTACTTTTTTTTTATTTATAGTATTTTTAGATCTAAAATGTTTTTGTTTAGATTGATTGTAATAAAAAGAAAACAAACAAGTGTAGAAAAGGGGAAAAAAATATATATATTTGTTCCATTAAATGTTCACTAGTATTACATGAGATGCTTTCATCTTCTTATAGATTTGTTGGTAGACGAAGGTAGTAAGTACGACATTTATATCTAAAACCTAAAAAGTCTATGCATCCAACGGTCAGCAAAATCTGAAAAACCCATTTGATCCTTGACAATTACTACACAATTGACCGCTCTGAAACCCTAACTGACAACACAAACATACCGCCGTCGCCGCCGCCGCCGCCGTCGCCGCCGCAGGCCTTAACTCGTACGGACTCTCCACCCCCGGCTTCGACTCGGCCGAGTTCGCAGACGAACTCTGAGTCGTCGTCGACCCGGACAGGAACGGGACGAGTCCAATCGACAGGTCGAGGTTGATCGGTCGGTGGTGGTTTGGCTGTTCGAGACTGTCGTCCGGTTGTCTCTCCTCGGTTGTGCCGCTGTTGCATTTATTGTCTTCGACCGAGTCGGTTAGGATTTTGAATTTAGTTTGATGATTCATCAGAGCTATGTCCGCTACTGGTAGAGACGGTGGAGAGGCATTTCTGAATTCCAAGCATGAATTGGCCACCGCGGCGGTTGCGGTGGTGGTAGTGGTAGCGGCGGAGGCGGCGGCGTTGAGCGGATGGTGAGTTTGGGGATCGAGGCCGCGGCTGATGAGTTTGCGCTTGATGTGAGTGTTCCAGTAGTTCTTGATCTCGTTGTCAGTTCTTCCCGGCAATCTTCCAGCAATCAAAGACCATCTGCGACAAAATCAGTAATCCAAAGTTTAGAAAAGTCAATTTGATGCAAGGTATGATTCACTGCTTTTACTTTCTGATTGGTTGCTGAGAAAATTGAGCCAATAAATATAAAAAGAATGTTAATTATTGGAAGTTAATTTTCCGAGTGTGAATTGTGTGGCATCTTGGAAATTAAAATGGGTGAAATTGTTGTATTAACTCCACTGAATAAAAAGCTTTTGTTTCCGGTGTGTAGAATTGCTTTTTCGTGGTCCCAAATATGGAAAGTAACACTAACATATACTCCAAAAAACGAAAATTTGCTTCTTTTTGTACGTTTTCTCAGCTGCCAAACAGAGTGGGAAAAGTATGGAAAATTGACATACTTGTTTCCAAGCAGACTGTGGAGCTTGATGATGAGTTCATCTTCTTCTTCAGTGAAATTTCCTCTTTTGAGGTCGGGACGTAGGTAGTTTATCCACCGGAGTCTGCAACTCTTACCACATCGAAGCAATCCTAGAGGAGAAGAACAATAACAATCAGTGTTTTCATGTATATGCATATATATATATATATATATATATTTATGTATGTATAGGTAGAGAGAGAAATAGAGTGGGTTCCGGGGGGTTACCGGCGGATTTAGGGAGGGAACGCCAGCAGCCTTCGCCGTGAGCACGGATGTAGCTAATGAGGCGCTCGTCTTCTTCTTTGGTCCAAGCACCTTTGTTGGTGTGAGCTTTCTCACAGCAAGGGGAACGTCCCATAATTGTTAGAGAGAGAGAGATGGGTATTGAGTGGCTTTGTTCTGTTCTGGGTTGAGATGAGAGATTGATTTGATTGAAATATATTAGGGAGAGAGAGAGAGAGAGAGAGAGGATGTGTTATATATGTGAGAGTGGGAGGGAATGGAGAGAGAGAGAGAGAGAGGAGGATGGAAGGAGAGAGAAGGAGAAATAAGGGAAAAAGCAATAGAGTCGATCCTTTTTGATAGGGGAGAGAGAAGTGGATATTTGACCAAGTTGGTGAGAAAAGACGAGTGGTTACAGATGGGGCTGGATTTGGTAGGTAGGTCTACTTTTACGTGAGTTGGCTTTGTGGGCTCTCTCCTCTCTCTCTATCTCTTTCTCTTTCTCTCTCTACATTTTGGAGTTTTGGACACAGTTTCAACATCGATGGGATAGAGTTGGGTACATAAAGTTAGTGTCCATGTGGAATCCGGCATTGGCGTGGGGGTGTTGAGAGTTTATTACATGCTCGGGCAACACTATATACCCTGGTGAATAAGTCCACGTACAAATTAAAAATTAAATAAAATTTATACATTTATTCAATTGGTCGACACTCAAATCATTTACCATAATATTTTTTTTGTGTGGGGTCTTCAAATTTTTTTTTACATGTTTTGAAATTACACGGTTTTGATCTATTACAATAAATGTGTCGATTTTACTTAAGTTTTTACTTATATGGTATGTTGTACCCCCTCACAGAATAGATGTCTATTGGCATGTGTGATAATTTCTTATTTCCTCTTCCTTATTTATTAATTAATTAATAATAATATTATTATTATATTTCTGTTTTGATAATTTCTTTTGTAATAATTCATTTTTTGATAAATGCACTTAAGAAGTTAAGAGATCTTGTAATAATTTCTTGTGTGTCTCCGAATTTTTTTTACAATAATCAAATAAATGTATTAGCTTTATTTAATTTAATTTTTTACATGTCATGTTGTGATTAGTATGGATCGTGTAATATTTTCTCATTTCGTCGTCTTTATTTATTATTATTATTATTATTGTTTTATTTCATCTCTCACAAATACACGTGAGGGATCATACCATATGAACTAATGCCAATAAATAGACTTATGTTATATTTAGGAGCACTGGGTGCCTTTGATTTGGGAATGAGGGAAATTTAATTCATTATGTATAGCATTATAGATAAAATCTTGAAATTTTTAAAAACTATAAATAAATCTATTAAGTGGTACCCTACTGTGAATTAACACAAATAAAGAATGAATAAAATTAACACATTTACTTATGTGTCGGTCCTGTTAAATTGAGATTGGTCGAGACCCAAACCATGTAATAATTTCTCGTGAGGTGTCTCCAAAAATTTTTACATTGCCAACTACTTGGTCTTGCCTAATCATATGGCCCGTGAAATAATTTATCATTTCCTCCTCCTTTTTAATTTATTATTATTATTATTTTATTTCTATACCTTGTGGCTAATGTCCATAAATAGACTTATACATAAAATCTAACTTTTTGATGGGGAAATTCCAAATCATTTTATTGTAAGAAGAGTGGATTATTGGATAACATTACATTCTCATCCATTTATATTCATTTTATTTTTCATACTCGAATTTTTAACGCCCTCGTTGAGGTCGGACTACTCTTCTTACCCAGGTGGCTCACCCGATCACCTTCCGAGGTGGGCAATTGGCGTGGCATCGGATCAAGAATTGGGTCTGGCTCTGATACCAATTATAACAGGTGGACACTTGTCCATTTATCAAAAAACTTAAGTTATTATGCATTGCTGCATACTCATTCATTTATATCCATTTCACTTTCCATCCTGATCCTATGTGGGACAAGTCTCAACTCACCCCTTATAACACTATTACGCAACTAGTGGTAACTAGTGGTTTGCAAGGATAATTCAGCGGTGATTTTACAAAAGCGGTTGTGGGTCCAAATCCACTAGGTTCTATACCCAAAATATGGTTTAGATTATGCTTTTAGAAGCACCATTTAAAGCCCTAATATTCTAAACCTTTTTGGTGGGCTTGATACCAAGTCTAATGGTCTATTCTTAAGGTTCTATTTAGAAAGGAAAGTAATTTCTATTTATCTCATATGACTAAGGAACGTGTCTCATCTTTTATTTATCTTCGTGTTAACAAATTAATTAGGAAAAAAAATAATTAATTAAGATTGGTCATGATTTCTTACAAGTAGTTCCATCAATTTCGAATGTAAAACAGGGAAAGGTTATATATAAAAAGAGACGTAAGATTTGGAGAACAATAATGATATATTTAGTTGATTTTATTTTCACCAACCTTTAAGAGCCTTTCTTAAGTTTATTTGAAATATGTAAAGAAAGAATTTAGGTACAGCGTTAATAAGTTTGCAAAGAGGAAATTGGGATGTGAGAGAGAGAGAGTATTTAAAAGCAGCTAAGAGCCTAAGATTTATTGGGCTTCAATCTTTGGGCTACAATTTTGCATATTGTTCTCATATACACACACACACATATTGGTCTTAGTTGTTGAAAGCTTTAAATAATGCCAAAGCCCAAGAAAATTAGCCCACCTTACTTGTCCAAGCCTCCTTTGCACTGAGGGAGGAAGTGAAATGAAAATACCCCAGCTTTTTTCTTCATTGTGTTTTTCAAGCAAATTACACAGGCAACACTTGGATGTAAAATAGTTTTTGGAAAAAAAATTTTACATTTTTTTTTTATGTTTGGTTGTCCTAAAATATTTATGAAGGAAAAAATATTAAAATTTAACAAAAATAATATAGTAATTAATTTTTGACAGTTATTTTCCACGTTTCACTCGAAGGACTTGAACCTCAATCTCGATCTAAAAATCTTAACTAAATACCAAAAAAAATATATAAAATATTTTACCTAAAAAAAAAAATCACAAAAATATTTTATGCTGAAACAAAAGGAACATTAATTTAACCACATAGAAGAATTTTAGACTTTTCTCTGGAGCAAGACAAAATCCACACTTCACTTTCTGGCTTTTCATAAATGGAAAGGCAAAAGTGCCCCTGAACTTATAAGTTCATTAATGTTTGATTATTTATTTATGAAAAGTTATGGAAATAATTTCATTTTCTTTAAAAGCAAATGCATATTTGCTGAAAAATAGTGTGTGAATATGAATACCTTTCCTATATATAATTACTGCCATAAATCAAAGATGGTGGTAGCTGTTGACTCTTAATTACTTGGTCAAAAGCTCCTTAGGTAGCTAGCTTTCCAATCATTTAAATTTAAACAGATTAGGTCCCACTATATCCTTGTGTGAGACTGAAGTCAACTCTGTATTTACATGAATTTTGAATTCATTATATGCAGTACGTTTTGCAATCACATGAATGTATGCTATTCTAGTTGTTGAACTTTTCATTAATGTTGGAATGTACAACAAGAAGTTGATGTTTATCGAATGAAAAATGACCTAAAATTCGAGTCTTCGAAATTTGAATACGTTAATGTATTTTATTGGACTTTTGAAATATAACTGAGAGTTCCATTACACTTTAATTTTATTTTTATTTTTTTTTATTTACAACAGTATGTTAAGATACACTGTCACGTCACTAATGTGTAAAATTATTATGTATTTTACACAACTCCTCATTCTTTCTCATTCCATTTACGAATCAATCCAATATTAAACATGGTAAAAATTTTGTGGGATCTAAGCATGATACCGATTGGTTGTTATTGGGAGATATATTTTTACACAAAAGTATAAAATAACCGCTGGAGTTAAAAATAAATAATCCAAAATTTTTGTGTAAATCTCTCCAATTGCTTTTTAAATTTGTGGCCGAATTACTAATATTTTTGGGGCCGGGCCATGAAAGTATTCATAAGACTATTCCTCTCAAATTTTCAATCCATAACCCATATTATATCTTATAAATTTAGAGTCTATAAATTTTAGATACTGTCATTTGCCACATCTCCCTCCCTCTTTTTCTCTCTCCTCAATTTTTCTCTCTCTAAATCTTAAATACAAGACTAAAATTTTCTCTTCCCTTTTAGTAACTTTCATACAATTAACCTACCCACAAACTACTTTTTCTCTCGAATCGTGAACTTACTATCTCCGACCTGAGCTAAACCATGCAGTCACCATGTTTGGCCACTTGCCGGCGCCATGCTTGATTACTTCGCCCTGAAGGATTCTTGTTATTATGACAGATGCATTTGTAGTTATAAGCCCATCCATGTTTATATTGACCATGAATATTTCTATCTTTTTTAGATATTGCTCCAGATTTTGTATCATCTTCAAAACGAACAATTAAGGTTTTTTTAGGTTTTGCTCGGTTGACCCGGTAATAATCATAAATATATGCTGAGTTTATTTATTTATTTTGTTTTTAGAAAATAATCATATTTTTTTTCTTTTATTTATATGTGTGTATATATTACGTTTAGCACAAGTTGAAGAAGCAAGCAAAATTTAGGTATGAAAATTACTGAAAAGGAAAGAGAAAATTTTGGTTTTGGTATCTAAGATTTAGAGAGAGAGAGGGAGAGAAAGAGGGAAAGGGAGATGTAGCAAATGAGTGTCTTAATATTAGCCTTCAGATTAGTTTTGGAGAGAGCAGTAAAGAGATATCCTCAGGAGAGGATCGTATCCTACTCACAAGATATCCTCAAGAGAGGATCGTATCTGATACTCACATTGAAAACTTGCAAACTTGCAGTAAATAGTCTAACCTAATATTTTTTAATTGATTATTTATACTAAATGTATATAAGTGGAGGACTCTACTTCCTTATTTGTTGCATAAATGACCAATTAAAAATAATAAATCTAATAATTTACTGTAACTATAATAATAATAATATCTTCTGACTCCTCCATATTATTGGGTGTAAGAATCATTTTCTTTATTTTAAATTTTAAAATTTTAATTTTTGGGTTATTTTCAAGCATTTTAGTTCCCTTTTCCAATGCAGCAATAAATGTGAAATGCCATAGCTACATGCATGTAGTGAGATCTTGAAAATGTGCTTCTTCTGTTTGAGCTAATAGCAATAAACTATCATTATCGCATAATTAAACATAATCAAGTATTTTGTAAAGTGTAACTTTCAGATTGCGAAAACATCAAATAAGTGGTTCATTAGCAAATTTGGGCAACACTTTTTTTACTCTTATTTTCAGCTAAACTCCAAGTGTCTGATCATCATTTATGTTGAGCTATATATGCATAGCTCAAATACATTGTCAAGTGTTAAAACTTGACAACACTCAACACATAGTTCACTAGTTAGGTACCACTTTTAGATTCATTTTGAGCTATAGTCCAACTATCATTTTGAACTATAGAGTACAGGTATAAAAATATATACACTGTCAAGCTTGAAAAAGCAAATTGAAATGTCATGGTCATATTCTGAACACTGGAATATTGTCAAATTTACAATTTTACCCAATATGTGGTTTAGTACACCACAATTAAGAAACCTCTCTCTACCAAGAAACTCAAATTTAACAATCATAAACCCTTCACCAAGCAGGAAAAGGCTCTTGTTCTTTTTTCTCTTTTTCATAGGGGGAAAAAAAATAAAAAAAAATTAGAGCAAACATTATCCGAGAAAGTAGAAGCGCGATTCTCCGATCAAATGAGTAAAACCCGTGTCAGACATCGACACTTTTCGAATATATGTCCGATACTTCATATACGTATCAATAAATAAAAATTAATTTTATTATTTTAAACACTTAGCACACACCTTTCGAACGCTTTGTCGACACTTTTTGAATATTTTTAATACCAGTCTACTCAATAATTTTAAAAATAATAGTAATAAAAAAATAATATATATGATATAAAAATTATTAAATATAATTTTATTTTCTAATTCATTTAAGAACAAAAGAAATATCCATTCAGTTGATATAAATATATAAAATCCACAATTACCATTTTTGTATTCACATGTTTATGGTAGTGCTTTCCCTTCAAAGTTGACACTTTCTTAAGTACACACAAACCAACGTTAAGACACCCCTTAATCTAAACAAGCAGTGGTTCTCTTAATTAGTAGCTCAGTACCTCATTTTGCTTTGCCATCTCTTATCTCTAAATTACATTCCTAAGACCCGACAAAGATTAATTAAGCATAGGATATAAATAAATATATAAACAATCAAACGCCGGCGGGTTGTAGCGGCGCTGGTGGTGGAGGAGGAGGCTGCGCCGGCGGAGTAGTGGGAGCTGATTCCCTGCGGCGGTGTGCATTTTTGTTATTGTGCATCCACACCTTGAGGACGTTACGCTTAACCCCAATCTCAGAGCAAAACTGGTTCAGTGCGACGTCGTCTTGCCTCTGTATCCTCCATCCCAACTTCTCTGCAAACTCCAACATCCTCTCTTTCTGTTGCTGCGTAAACTTCGTCCTGAACCTCTTGTTCCTCGCCGCCGCCGCGGCCGCCGCCGACATTGGCCCGGCGGACCCCATCAACACCACCTCCTCTCTCTCCGGCGTCTCCGACCGTCGATCAACCTCGTGATCGTCATGATCATGCAGATCAACGTCTCCAAACAGCCCACCACCGTTCAGATGAGCACTAGTGGGACCCATTGTAGCAAACCCTCCGATTTTGTTGGTGGGTCCGGAGTTATACGCCAACATCGCCGGCGGCGGCGGAGAATGCAGCATGCTGCGGCAGTGGTGGCCGCCGCCTTGTACTTCTTTGCGGTGGAAGTTGCGGTGGCATCCGCAGGCGGCGCACGTTAGTGGGTCGGCGGAGGAGGGCATGAACTCGCCGCAGCCGTCGTTGGCGTGGCCGCCGATCGCGGCCGCGTGATTCCTCATGCAGTGGCGGTACTTGAATTTGGCGGTAGGTTTGGGGTTCATGACCACCGGTTCGACCGGCGTTTCGCGGGTCCGGTAGAGCACCGGTTCTGTGGTGGTGTCGGACACGTTGTCATGGGTGGTGTCGTTCTCGAACTTGATGTCGATTCCGTACGGCACCATCCTTAAATCCATACCCTTCATTCCCCCTAAAGACATGATCTCTCTCACTGAAAAATGAAAATGTAGAGAGAGAAACGTAGACTGGTAGAGAGAGAAAGCGGGACTCTGCAGCTAATTTTGGAGGAGCTCAGCTTATACTAAATAATTAGCTGAAACACAGATTGTTGTAATCCTCGTTTCGGAGACAGCGTGAAATGAATTTAAGACGAGCACGAAGAGAGACAGAGAGAGCGTGTGCGTAGAGAGAGAATCATCTAGAGAGAGGAGGATGACCAACACGTGTCACTCAAACGAAGAGAACTCTTAATACTATTTTTTATTTTATTTTATTTTTGAACAATGCTAAACTTTAACCCTCCCCGTAACACTTCTCTAAATTATTGCAGCATCATCAAGTACTCGAACATTTGTCAAATATGCAAGAACGGTTTGAATACATGTCGGCTAAAAATATAATATTTTATTTTTTAGTCGAATACGAAAGATAAGTAGAGTGATTTTGTTATTATTAATTTTTTTGAAAAAAAAAAATGTAATTCAAAATATATTATAAATTAACCAAAAATAATAATATAAATTTAAGAAAATAAATTTAACAAAAATCTACCTCTAAACTTCAAATTATTAATTTATTTATGATTATACAAATAATATATTATATCTATATATTACAATATATATTATATTATTGTTTTTTAATGTATAATACTATTTAATTTATTATATTGTCTTATCCGTATCATATAATACTAATTTTTGTATCTCTATTCGTATTTCTTAGATTGAAGGCAATACTCAAAATTGAAAAGAGTAGGGAATAAATTCATATGAGAGACTCATTCATAAGGTTTAGCTATTTATTTTTATTTTTCAACAATTTGGCAAGTTAAATTTTGATGCGTTTTTGATATAATTTTAACACCAAGACTATTTTAGGAAACTTATGAATTACTTTTCCTTTGTTCTCTCTCTCAGCTGTTAGTCCCCATTTCATTTTGATCCTTGCTCCCTTCCATGGGTGTGGGGAGGTGCCCTTGCTTACCTCTCATATTTTAATAACCTTGACGTGTCTCAATAAATTGGCCTTGTGGGTGGTTTTCATGTCGTTTTTTTGTTTTTGTGTGACTAGATCTACTCTTGTTTGGATTGTTTTCGATTTGACAAGATGTGTGCAGACATCTTGTGAATGCAGTTTTAGAGTTGTTACCTTGATGATAATCTGATCTTTGGTCACTTTAGTTGCTGCTCTTCTCTTTTGGTAATTTTTATTTTAGAGCGGTGGTTCTTTCTATTTTTTTTTTTTTTTTTGTGATTTTAATTATAAAGAGGTGACTCTTTCTCAACAAATTTAAAACATGTTTTTTATTTTTTTTAATTTTACTTCATGATATATATATCTTTATCTTACTCGACTTGTACTTTTGTACCGTTACTTGCCTTTTGTCTTTCAAACGATGAAAAAAAAAATAAAAACTATTCGCTGTTTGATCATGGAAAAAAAAAAAAAAAAATTACTTTTCAAAATTCATGATATTCAATGGAGTAGTATAAAGATGAGCGTAGGATAACACTTATGAAGCGAGATCTCATCATAACCATTAGGAATTAATATGATGACGTGTGGAAGACTGATTGGTTGGGATTATCGTCCGCCCACGGTGGTACTTTGCTCGTGAAACGTCCCGAGTCTGAATTATCGAAAAAGTGGGACCTACCCACGTGGTATTCTGATAAAACAGTCAGATGATCTGACGGCTGGAGATGGAGTGAAAGTGTAGGTAGAGTAGTAGGGTATGGGCAAATTGTTTTTGTACAACACGTCACGCTTTTTCCCGCCATACTGAGGGTGGGGTCCACGAAGGGAAGGAGGAGGAGCGTGGTTTTCAAGGTAACTGAAGGCTCACCCTCCAATTTTAGGGCCTCTAATGACTGACATCTGACATACCTAATTATAATATCTGTCCGTCCCTTTGACATTTTTTTTACTCCATAATTTTGATAAAAAAAAAAAAATTCCTAATTTTTTTGTTAAGCCATTTTTTCTTGTGCCACTTCTATGTTATTATAATTGCTTATGCAATAATTTTATATTATTTATGTACGAATAATTATTTACCTTACTTATATAAAGACAATATTACTTATATAACCAGAATTTTGTTATATAGGAGTATTACGTATGTGTTATAGATGGATTGTGTTGCACTAATATACTATTCGAGACACCAAGGCACAAAATGTTTTTCACAATCAAGGATTTGAATTTTACCAAAGTTATATATATTCTCATTATGAGAAAGATTCATTCAAACGAAAATTTATTGGATAGTTCCGAAATAATTTGTCTCGACCCAATAATTTAGTGACACACAAACTTAGTATGTTTAGATATGAGGAGTCATTCAAACATATTAAATACAATTTTGGTCTCAGAAGAGATATTGTTTTTGGAGTTGAGGGAGCCGATACTATATTTAGATATGGATTCATGCTTTGTTTCATTCTTTTTTGGATTAAAATAGGTAGAATAATCACTCATATCTCTAAATGTAATGTACAAATAGTTTAGAATTACAAATTCATGAAAGTGATAAATAAGAATAATAACTTATTTTTGAAATAAATTTAACTTCCTCTCGGATTTCTTTATTTATTATTTTTCTACAACTCGAACTTATATGACATTATCTGAAATATTTTAGGGAGTCTTATACTATTTTCTACTTGATTATCTTGCTTTTATTCTCCTCCAAAGCCTAAAACACTAATAGAGAATATTAATGGACTCATTTCTATCTCTCGAGTAAATTAGATAAAGACTAAAATTTTGATTTTATTACTAAATTTATTTGATAAAAATCTCTGCACTAACTTTTTCTGGTAGAGTTTTTTTTATTCAAAATAGCATTGTCTTTTAGATATACATATATGTGTGTCCATTAGAGAAAATTATTTAATTAAAAAATTTTGGACGAGGGTAAAATTAATAATCTAGTACATTTATTATTATTGAATTGCAAGATGAAATTAATCTCAATTAAAAGTATGCAATTTAATTGAGTATGCTCTCAAAATTTTATATAAGAACTAGATTGTAAAGAAGGCTAAATCTATCACTTTGTAGAAAATATTCATTGAAATATCAACTTACCTAAATATTACATTTGTCACTTTTTAATAATACATAAATGTATTTTTTTCGTTGACTTATATTTCATGGAATATTTTGGCACAAATGATAGTTTAGTAAATTCAGTGAGTCTAATCCCTGGTGAGCTTAATTGCAGCTATTAGGAACCTCAACACCATCAGATACAAAATTACAAATACATTGGGACTTCAAACACTTCTCATGATGCTGCCTGCTGGTAATTGAAATTATAATAATAAAGTATAAAAAAGAGATATGAAATTAAATTATTCATTCATTGTTTTGGCCCTCTTGAGTGTGTGAGTTAGTTGAGGTTATATTTTTTATTAAATAATTTTATTTTATTTTTTTATATTTTTTATAAAAATAATTTCAACTTTTAAAAAAAAAAAAATTCATGGACATTATTATAAAATCAATAATATAAGTGTTTTAAACAATATTGTTATTAAACGAATTAAAAAATATATTAATTGGAAAAAATATTTTATATAATTGATTACTAAAAAACGTGGAATGATTTTTACCAACAACAATTATATAAGAGCCATCTTCCTAAGAGGGAGAAATTAATAGTTATAACGGTTATCTCAAGTTATTAGTATAACTAATCAATACAAAAACTCCACTAAAGTAAATGATCCCGCAACGGTTTAGTAAATTATGAATCCAAACCATCTTACTCTAGTGGAGTGTTTGCATAATTGCATTGGTTGGTTGTATCAGTGGCTTGGCACAACTTTCTCATAAGATGAACCACGAGCTCTTCTTATTTTATCATTGGATTCTAACTTTTTGAGATATGGATAAATTATTTAACACATTTTTCAATCCAAGGGCTAAATAGGGAAAGAACTCAAGGCTATTCCCATGAGATGGTCCTCTTAGGAGACTGATAAAAGGAGGTTACGCCACACAAAAGACACGCAAGAACTGAGAAGGATATCAGTATTGTATGAAGAATGTGGAGTTATATAGTCTTTCTAAATTGTATAAAGAATTGAGTAGTATCGTAGAGAGTTGAAAAAATCTAGAATGTTGGAGAGTTCGCTGTACATAATTGTAGAGCATAGACCGCTCCAAAATTGTAGAGAATTTGTAGGTATTTAAAACGATTTTTAGATCTTGGAAGGATTCATATAAATAGGGAAGGATGGTTATTCGAAAATAAGCTACAAGTGAGCGAGGAGCCACCAATAGTAAGAGTGTTTTTTACAACACTTTTCTGAGTGGTAATAAGAATTAATATTCCAAGGATTTTGTGAACTCGGCGGTCATAGTCATGAAAAACTGTTGAAGCATCTATGTTTGTTGAATGTCATAGTGGTGAGAAGAACGGTGAATGAACCTAAAGAATAATAATGTTAGAATGGTAAAAGTAGAATGTGTGTGATGGTTTTTTTTTATTTCATTTTCTAGTACGTTAAAGGTTTTCTACTTGATTGAAAAACTCTACTCTTTTAGTTTAAATTATTAGTTCTTAATTCTTTTAGTTTCTATTTAATTATTGTAGTTTATCTATTTCATCTGCTTGAACTGGCAAGAAAAACTATTATTATATATATTTTTTAACATTTTAAATTTGATATTAAGACTAATTATAATGTTGTAGTCTATAATGTGATATAGTATAAAAACAATGGTCTTCAAAGAATAATCACAAGTAATCACCAATATAAAAAAAAAGAACAAATTCCATCATAAAAAAGATGAAGAATTACAATAGAGAATTTTTTCTTAATCTCTCTCAATTGGTCTCTTGTGTTGGCACAAATTAATTAATCATACACATGTATGATAATCATATTTTCATTAAGTCATACCCTAAATTCCAATTAAGGTTCACGTAACTTTCCAGGAGAATTGAACCGGTTCAGAACCGGTTCAACTTTGTTGTCTTACGTGATGCACCAATTTAAGAAAAGCTGAACCAATTCAGCATTGGCATGCGTAGTCAAAGTCTACGCCACACTTGAATCGACCTAGGAACTGGTTCAACTTTGGCAGTAGCCAAAGTTAAATTTGCACCTCCAGTTGAACCAGTTCAAAGACCCCTAAATCAGTTCAAATATGTCAATAGACAACGTAAAAATCCAATCAATAAGTTTGAACCTCCCAAATCCTCCACGTAATAGACCCCACAAAACCACAACAGAACTTGAAAGGTAATACTTAATTAATTCAAACATATTGTCTTGTAAGTCAATATATCTTTTGCCAGAAATGTCTTCAAGTAAAAAATATACCAGGTCCCTATAGAAACTATTGGAGTTTCCTACTAAATTAACTCTCCTACTATTTTTTTTTTTTAGGTTTTGCAATTCTAATCTGAATACAGTATTTTCATACTTTTCAATTCTTTAACAACAATGTTAAGCAGAGTCGCATTTATGCAAATCTGTTGATAAGATTATGTGCACATTATTTTGGTGGGTGAGCACATAAAATAAAGGTTAAGATTGCATAATCGTGTGACTGTACTTATCATTTTTCTTCTAAAAGATGTTTAGTTGTTGATAATATTGCATATTATTTAATAATGGCGTTGGAGGAACATTTTATCGTTCTCAATAAGCAAGGGATTAAAGTCTGGCAGAATTAGAAGGGAGCTAAGGGGGTCGTTGCCCCCCACTTTTTCTTTTTTTTTTTCTTCTTTCTTTTCCCATAATTTTTTATAGGCCTCAAAAATAGTTCTGTATTAACCATGGATTGTTGATTACAACAAAGGGCCATGACCATTGGAAGACGAGTGGGTGAAAGAACAACATAGATTGATCAAATTACATTGTTTACTAGCATTAGGGACGGACCCATAGAAGTATGTGAGTGGGGGTGACTTTTAACAAACAAAAAAAAATCCGTGTCGATGTTTACTAGCATCAGGCACGGATCCCCTGGGCCTATGCTAGATCCGTGTTTGACGAGCATGCTTGACCAGCCAAATTGATTAAAAAAATAATAATAATAATTTTAAAGCCTCCAAACATACCTTTAAGCTAATTCTTGACAAGTAATGGAAATCATACATGCAAACATGAAATGTGTACATATATAGAAACATCAGTAATAATTAAATACAATTCGCTATTCAAATGAATGACCAAAAGGTGCTCAGGCATCCTAGAGAGCCAATACACAAGGCAGGGGCAAACTGCACTAAAATTATTAAGGCCCTGTTGAGCCCCAGACTAAAGGGCGGGAAAAAAAATGCTTATATGAATGAATAAAAAAAATCCCTAGTAGATGTGGAGAATGATATGAGATTAAATGTGGACTGAGCTGTTGACTGAACCACTGCTAGAATCGGCTTCCTTGTGTTCTATGGAGAGGTTAGCCATTTGGGGCTCGAGGTCTCTACTTTTGGATCGATGATGTTTGGAATGCTGCTTTTGTTGGTGGTGGTGTTGCTGTTGCTGTTGTTGCTTTTGCTGCTGTTGCATCATCTGAAGTTGATACAGACTTTTAAGTCTTCCAATCTCTCTCTCTAACATATCCTGCTCCACTGTAACAATAACAAATAAGCAATTACTGCTTCATGCTCCCAGATCACAAGTCCGAAAAATTATATTAAAATATATAGAATGATTGTTTGGATTGTGCTTCCACATTCCAGTGTCACAAGCTAAGAGATGGCACGAGACAATGCTCTTGACGCCTAAAAGAGTGATCAATGAGTTTGGTCAAACATGAAGGACTGATGCCCGTTAAGGGGCATGGGGACACATTTGCATGCAAGTTGTTGCACCTTCATAATTATTGAAAACCCGGTCTTGGAGTCAATAAAGTGATTGGAGTATATACTGGAAAATATGATAATTAGCTGGAGGTTATAAGAAATCTATAGCAATGGACACACACGAACTCAAGAGCATTTCGAATCTGGTATGACCAATTATGATTCGTTGAGCATAGATGACATGTCTCCCTATTAAAGGGATAACTTCTCAATTTGCTGTTATGAAGGAAACACATGCATGGTGAGTTTCTATCATCCATGCAGTGCTAAATTAGGGCACTAAGGGGGCAATCATGAGGCAATTTTTAGGCGCTTAGAATCACTACATCTACTTGAAAAATGTTATATTGAGCTGAATAAACTGTGGGAAACTACCTTGGCCCATGTCCCAATTAATGGGCGTTCACTTGGATTTTCACCTTGTGGCTAGAGGGTGCATGTATTGAGGAAATGATGTTCTTGCTCGTTATTTTGTTATCAGTGATAAACCATGTAACTCGTCTGACACTGACTGTTTTGAATGAAAACATATGAGGTGCCATAGCGCATTGCTGACTTGTGCTTTGGGCAGAAGATGGCCTAAGTTGCTTGTAAATTGAGTGCATAAAGGATTATACTATTGCTCGAAGGCAATTCTCACTGCTTGTTTGGAACTAAATCATTCCTTGGCTATTCAAGGTACTTTATGCAAACCTAACACGAGATGTCGAGCCAATGTGAATCACATAATTAGATAGCTTGTGGACTTGGCATTACAATTATGTTGATGTATGATGTTTTATGCTGGTGGCCTCCAGTTACACTAGGGTACATGGTTTTGTTGCAAGAAACGTTGATAAAAATATCTCGATGTAATCGGTGTATTGCCCTATAACTATTTGGCTTAGTACAGAAATCGGTAAATTGGATAAAAAAGCTTCCTGGTGGCATCCAGTATACAGGGCCTTTCGATAGCGGTGCTTGTTTGGGACTTTATGGTTCCTTGGCTATTCAAGGTGTGATATGTAAACCTAACACAAGATGTGGACATACCATCTTGGTCGAGGCCAACGTCAAGAACATAATTTGACAGCTTTTGGAGATGTAGCATTATAAGTATCTTCTTGGTGTAATGTTTATGTGGGTGGCACCAAGGAACATGGTTGCATCGGGTAATGTCTTCTTGATGTGATCAGTCTCTTGTTATAACTAAGCTCGGTATGTTAAGAAATCAGTAAGTCGTCTATAGAAGCTACTTGGGATGAGGAAGCTTCCAGATGGCATTAGATACATAGGGTCCTTTGATTAGGGTTGGTCTTGTTGACAAAGGTCTTAGGCTTGACAATATTAGAGTCGGATCATTTATTTACTCAAATGCTATCTTTAATTCATTGAGTTTAGGCATTGCACAATACAAATAGTTTGAATTGGAGCTAGGATGGAGGTGATTTATCATATATTAAACTACATTAAACCTTGATGCTACTATTTCAGGAATCCGAGCTTGAGACATTGGAGGGGGTGACTAATCATATATTTCTGTTTCTCTACGGACAGCCATTATAATGCGAGGAAGCTTCCATTCAAGTAAATACAGCCAAAAAAAAAATCAGTGCAAAAGGAAGCACATATGTAAACAGGGCTTAGACTTCACATAACCAACAATGAATTGGAAAAGAAACACTTACAGTTTTTTATAAGTTGCTCCTGGGATAAACTGTCTAACCGTTGTCTCAAGGCTCTGTTTTCCATGCCTAATATAAGATTGCGCTGATCAAGAAATTCAAGCTCAGCTGAAACTTCAGATCCTTCAGCCTATAAGGCCAGAAACAGGCAGAAAAGTGTTAATACTTGTACCATTAGCACAATTATCAACAATGCTAACATGCAAACACTGCTAAAATTAAGATATAATGCTTCAAAATTCTGTTGGCTTGCCTGTAAAACGTGGACATGCCTTTCCAGTTCAGCTATGTACTGAAGTTTCCTGATTCGTGACCGTTGTGCAGATTGCCTGCATTTCATAATGTCATAACAGTTTTAAGTATGCATATCAGGTGAACAAACAATGCGGACATTTTCTAAACATAACGAAGCAAGTTTACATAATATGAAAAATGCCTTAAGACGCATTCCGGATGTTAAAATAGCATGCAGACACTTATATTGGAGCTTGTGTTAGTTAAATCAAGCACATTTCAATATCAACAGAAAGCAAGAGAATTTCTGTTGGTTGAATCAAGGTCATGGGTGACATAAGAACACGGTCACAAGAAACATGATTAGAACACATACTGTTTAGCACGTTTTGCATCTATCTTGGATACAGAAGGCTTAGCTTGCAATAAGTTAATTCTTTCAGTAGAACTCTCTTGGTTCTGTGAACCTCGTTCCTCTTGGTCGCACTTTTCAGTGGCTGTAGATGGCACCCCATCTGATTCTGGCAGAGCACAGGATGATACTGAGGTTTGAAGAGAAATGCCATCCCTTGTAGACGAAAGGCCACTTGAGCAGGTTACATTTTTTAAAGATGATTCATTAACCCTATGGTTCTGCTTATCAAAAGACCTTGGCTTCGTGTCAGAGCTGGAACTCCAAGAATCTTTATAATGAACAAAATTCTGAGAGCCCCAGGAAGGTCCTCCAATAATATTTTTCAATTTGTGCCTCTCCCATGTGCTACATGTCTTAGCTGATGTACCTGCATATGCTAAAGAGTCACTTGATGAACGTCGGTGACCTCTGTGCACCAGTGTCTCTGGCTCGTTAAGAAGGTCATCAAGCCAAGAGGGTTGCTCCTCTAAGAGAAAGCTCTCAGAAGAACAACGTTGGTAAGACAATTTCTCCGTTGGCTTTGGAATGCTTTGCGATCCTACCACAGAAGAATCAACATAGGATGAAGAAACACGTGGAAACGGGCTTATAGGGGGGAGTAGCGTCTGTCTGCTCATGTTTGGAAAATTTATGAAATTCAATAACCTGTTTGAATTTTTCAAAATCTAAGCCTGTCAGATCAGAATTTGTCATAAAAGGACAGAAACATCAGGAATGCTCAAGTATAAGTGCAAAGACATAGCTATAACTGTCAAAAGCAATTATTAATGATATAAATCATTCAGGAGATAAACAAAACAAGCAGAATTATATAGCATCAGTCTCGCAAAATGGCAAACAGCAACATTGCTATTGAAAAAACGTTGTTCAACCACTACTTGACACTCTATTATGAGTTTTTAGTTGATTTATGTTGATTATTGAATGTTTTGGTCATGCTACAATGGTCCAATTTGGGAAATATAAAATATGTGAAAAGATTTCCCTAGTCCTCGAATTCAATGGATAATTCATGAAATACATGTGATTTGGGCAAGACATGCATCAAAATTCACACACACACACAAATGTGTGTGATAAGATTTCCCTAGTCCTTAAATTCAATAGATAATTCATGGAATTCATGACATACATGTGATTTGGGCAACACATGCATCAAAGTTCACACACAGATACACACACAAATGTGTGTGATAAGATTTCCCTAGTCCTTGAATTCAATGGATAATTCATGGAATTCACATACATGTGATTTGGGCAACACATGCATCAAAATTCACACACACACAAAAGAGGTTATTTCTATGTATTCAATTTTTAGCTTTCTTGGTTTCTACATCAACACTCAAAGGGATGCCCAACCAGCAAAAAGGATACTCTGACATTAATTGATTGAAAATATAGTTTATGGAAACGATACATATGACATAAAGCTTAATCATGACAAATCTTTTTCCAATATCAAGCTCAAGAATATTTCAGTTGTAAATTGGCCTTACAAAGTGTTTTCATATATGATCTCGTTAGCTTTAAAAGGAAGATAAAAATTGCGTTCACACAAACACACACTTATTTACATATATAACATTGGGGGAGAGAGAAGAACAGATTGAAGAAATATAAGATTAAAAAAGAAAAGAAAAAAGAAGCAGATCTGAATTGAGTGCCTATGTATTAAATTAAGTGCAGACAAATGCACACACACACACACACACACATATATATATATATTATAGAGAGAGATTGTGTTAGTACCGTCACCGGAAGGGACAGTGTTGAGAGCGGTGGATGGGAATGGTGATTCATGAGCTGTGAGTCCAAATTGTCTCAAATCTCCATGAATTTGCGGAGGGCAGAGCATATGCTAACTCCTTCGTGCTTCTAACTCTCTCTCTCTCTCTCCACCTGAAACAGGCAGAGAGAGAGAAGGGCGGAAAGGTTCGCGCGCACTTTACGTAACGAAATGAAAAAGGATCCGTTTGCTTTCTTGCGAAATACTAGTAGTACTACATGTTATGTTCTGATCCGCCCCGTCAATCTTTCAACACTCATCTATCTACGCCCCAATTTGAAAGCCCATACCAACTTTTCTATGGACCAACTTCGTCGAACCTTGGGCCTTGCAAGGTTCGAAACCAAATCTGGCTCCATTTGAAGTAAATTTGTTTTCATAATGTATATATTTAACAAAGCTTATAAAGTATATAAAGTAAGATAAATAATATTAATCACAAAATGAGACTCAACTAGATAAACAAATCAATCACAAAATGTATTTAACTCAAGTGCACACAATGCCCTACGAAGAACTGAAAATAATTTTTGAGTTCTAACTATTACTTATAGTAAAATAAGACATCAGATTTCTTTTATTTTTCCGTATTTCTTTTATTTTTCAGTTTCGAAAGAGTAGGTTGTGTGACTGCTAACTGTGTGCTTATTTGCTTTTATGATGCGTTTCTTTCTTTTCTCACTTTTAAGCTTCGTTTTTTACAAATAGAGGGAGTCAGCCAACTACATCACTCTTTGACTGACTCACCCAAGCCATTGGAGCAAGGTCTACAGTTCTACTCATTATGTGGTCCTTGCAATAAATCGAGAAATTTTTAGGTTGAAATCTGTGGGCAATTTTGACAGAATAGAACAAGGGCTGTAGATTTTATGCGCAAATAATTATTTATACCATAAATGTACATTGAAATGCACAAAAAAAAACACTCAATAATTGACGGCCTGCACGGGCCGTATACTGCACATTCCCGTTCTACCTGATTTGGTAAAATTGTGTGTACCTGTCATACCAGCATGCTGACTTCGCTACGAAACAATCTACTTTTATTACAAACTTCATATAACGCCTGCCAGAATACAATATAGTGAGGAAGTTTACCTCTGAAATTGTACTAAAAAAGATTTTCTCAAGAATACAGACACAGCTACATTTGATTGCCAAGAGATCATATGGAAAAAAGATATGACCGTCTTCCTTCCATTCACATGATAAACAAAGCACCAGAGTAACAATATAGCAGCCCCAAGAAACCAGATTATTTTCCATATTGAATGTATCTAAAGGTAAAAATATATCACCTCAATATCAAAGTCATGACGAGTACGGTCTTCAACATTCTGTTTCTAAGGAAGTACAAATGGCGTTCATCATTCAGTTCAACTAAGAATGTTTCATTCACGAATTTTACAAACTTGAGTATGGAGAGAGAATCCCCGACACTCCAAGGGATGAAGCATTTAAGTGGGGGGAGGGGAGGGGGTTTTACTTGGTGTATAGACCAAAAATTTTCACATGTGATCTGGTTCAGGAAAAGGTCAACTGGGGATATGAACATGGGGAGATGCACAGATGTAAAGAATATATCAGATAAGACTAAACCTTCTTACTGCTGGTAAGTACTTTGTGCAAATGGAAGGCTTCACCTTGATCTCCATTTAGGGACCTCCTCTCCAAGTAGCAAGCAGTTAGCTGCCTGAGTAGCCGCTCGAGATAGGAATGCAAGCTACCCTGTGAATCTTTCATGTTAGGATTTGTTGACAAGATCATCGCATTAACAGCATCAGCCACAATCTCTCGATGTGAATCTTCAAGAAGATATCCAACCGAAGACTTCTGCGGTTGTTCATATGCCAATAAAGCAGCACAGTCCTATGGACAGAGTTTCAATTAGAATCTAACTTCAAGTTTCACCGTAACAAGAAAGATGCTCAAACTCCACCTATAAACTTCATTACTAAATATCACTGAAACGATATACTATAATTCCAGATTTACCCTAACCAACCAAAAGCAGGTTAAACAAGTGTTCTAGTTAATATCATAATATCTAAGGATATTCACAACAGGACAATAAAACACATAGCTGTAGTACCTGTTGGAATTGTTTGTTAAACATGCCATAATATCCCCCCAAAAATCAAGGAAAAATAAATGTAATAAAACTGCAACTGGTATGCGAATCACATTCTGCATTCCAAGTTACAACCAATAATAGAATTTAAGATCCAGAACTTGAAGATCTGGATGAAATTACAATGAAGGATTGATATGCTTTGCACTTAATGCAGTTTTTTAACCATTCAGTATGTGTGAAGAACAGTAAAATTTTAAAGCAGAACTAAATATGGGGTGCAAAGTAACTGTATTGCAGAATTTTATTCACTACCTTAACTAGATTGTCAAATTCAGCCAACCTATAAAATTTTTCGAAGTTGATCCTTCCGTATGCCACAGCCTCCTCCAGCTTTCCGTCCTGCATGCCAAATATAGACATTTCAAACTATCAAATTGTTTTATGAATTGTATCAGAGTGTAACATTTCCAAGACAAGTATGGTACTGAAATCAATCCACAATTTTAAAGTTTCCTAACAGTGTCTAAAAGAACCCAAAAATTCGTTACCACTTCTCTCACATTACATGCAACTTATCGTTTTCGTTTCTCTATGTATTTTATTTCTCATGTCAATATTCCATCTCAATTGTAAACCTTTTTTTGTTACAACTGATTTATAAATTTGTCAAATTATATCTACATAATTCTAGTTGGCCTCCCTTTCAAAATTCCTGGCTCCACCCCTGAGTAGAACTAGTCTCTGACGGTGGCAGAGAATACATTAACCTGCATCCATAGTTTTGGGGAAAACTACACACTACAACATAGTATGGGCTTCTGGCCCTTAAAAAGCAAATCTATGAACAATCAAAGTGATCTAAACCGATCAATGAGTTTTTGGATGTTGTTTCCAGACTTGTGATTTTTCAATGTTCATAGTTCGATAAGAACTAGAATACTCTCTTGCAAAGTACACTCTGCGTAGTAAACTTGGGCACAGAACTGCTCATCAATTCGTACCGCATGTACGGATTCTAAATTGTGACTGCAAAAATGAGCACTTGCTTATAAGTTTCTGTCACCACATGCATTAATGTATAAATTTGAACAGACTGATAGGAGTACATATCGGTATGTAACTCCTTGCCACTATATGAATTGATTCTCAACAAAGTATGAGCAACAAAGTTCATATCTGCGAATCATTTTGCCAAACCCTCATAAATGGGGTTGATACTCATAGTTTGGTAATTAATGGTCCAGAACCACATGGTTACATCGTTTTACCTACTTCTTAACAAGGATCAAATAACCATCCACCAACACTAAGGAGACAAGGTGTAGACACCAAAGGCAAATATCAAGATAGTTTAGTTAATTACTTAAAAAAGAAAGGACGGAACTTTCGAACCACAGTTTATTCAGCTTGACAATCTGTAAAGAAAGTAACGAACATGATAAATAAGAAAAATATTTACCCGGACTAGTTCAATAAACTTTTGAGAGTGAAGCAGAAAGCAAGTAGCCGATGTACCATCCTGCAGATAGATAGTAAAACTGGTTACCAAGACCTGAATAGTACAAGGATTGATCACGGAGAGAAGAATGATACTCTAGTTCGCAGCACAGTGGATGAAGTAAGGGACTGGGCAGGGAGTCTTGATAAGTTCATAATGAACATAATTATACAATATTATTAACATTTTTTTTCCTTTTCACGATCTACAAAGAAAACAATGGGGTAGACACCATGTGTACCAATTCTAACTTTCAACCTCAATAACAAACAAGTAAATAAGAAAAAAAATAAGTACAAGTCAAAGTGCAGTAGGAATTCTTCTTCGCATGATATACACAGTGATGTAGAATAAATAAGATCAATTCGACATCAACTGTAGCCAATAATTATGCTAAAGTACACAAATAAACAAGAGCTTGTCTTGACTGATGCTGATAATAAGACTATGACAATGATGATTATGATGACGATGACCAACAACATTTCTAGGAAGAAAGCTATGAAGGATATGGAGAACAAAAGGAAACATCAATCACAGTTTTACATTGATGTGGTTGTGGCTGTTGCAATGCCCTAGGAAGTAGGTAAAAGCATACATTCCGTGAGAGCAGATAAGTATAGTATGTGAAATTTTTGGGGGTTCAAAACCAGCTAAATCTTCACAATCACGAACAATTAAGCCTTGAAGCCCCATAGTTAAATGCTCTTTCAGGATTTTTATAAATATCATGCAACCAGTAAAGAAGTTTCTGCTTTTTAAGTCACTGTCAATAAGAGGGAGGGGGGGGGGGGGGGGGGGGGACTCTTGCCTCCTTTCTTTTTCAACTACACTTTTTTATGACAAAAAATGCAATCAAAACATGGTAAATTAATTTAACATTAAAAAAAAAATACATAACTAAAATAAAAAAGAAGAAGAAAACATATTTGTGAAGTAACAATTTCACATTAAAATATCAATTAGTAAAAAAGTGAAAAATGGTTATTTTATAGCACTGGTTGATTCTTTTTCTTTGAAAATCTATGTTACTATTTAATCTAGTCATATCTTTCAAAGCAAATTTAAATTTGACTAATCAGCTCAAATAAGTGGTACAAACTTAACACAATTTAAATTTGACTTGTCACCTCAAATAAGTATTACAAACTGAATTCAATCTTTGATGTATATAGTTTATGACAATTTGGGATGGTATGACAGAGGCAAATTTAAATCTCAGTAACAATTCCTGATATCTAATGTTGAAGTAAATATATCTAAAATTACTTATCAAAAAAAAAAAAGTAAGCGTGTCTAAAATTACAATTGAGAATCTAATCTCATTCTCAATCAAGAAAAGAACATCAAAAACTTGAGGTTGATGAGAATAAATCTACTACTTTTATCTCTTTGATGCTGTTTAGCCATTTGAAAGCTTTGATTCAGGATATGAGCTCAAAATCCTAAACTTAGTTGATGAATTTGGTAGATGTAATCTGAATTAGGAATGCATTTCTGAGAAATTGGTGGAAAAAAAAGGGAAAAGAATATTAGAATCTGGCTTTAAAGGGAGTTTCCAATTAATGCACTGATTGGGCCAAGGTAAGTTGTCATGACAGTAGTGTGGCATAGGGATGATACATATGTGATCACAGGACTCACAGCAATCAAGGCCATAGCAATTGCGCTGGAGACCATAAAATTGTAGTCAATATGCAGTGTTTTGGCTGCAAATCCACAGTCAAAACCTTGGTCTGGATACAAGTAATGTACATAGAACACCTAGTGGTAGCTATGATTCACAAGATCATAGCTTTCTTGACAGTAGAGTTGGGTTGGCACAATATACACTGATGCAGAAGATAAGATTATTAAAACAAAACAATAATGTAAAATGAGTCAGCATTTATATAGAGAACTTGAGAAAGTCAACCTGAACAATCTGAGGATACCAATCACGAAGTTTACCAAACGCATCATCAATCTTCCCAATCTTGATTAGCTTCATGTATAGAGGAGATAGGTAAATTAGAGCTTATCTTTACTAAAAAGTTATCACTGTAAGCTGAAATCATAATAGAAAATACAAAAGACCTCAGAAAAGGAAAGCCTCAGAAAAGAAAGATATATAATACACAATTGTATTTTTCAATAAATGCACAGTTCAATAGTCTGAGAAACGAAAACTGAAGGAAATACTCCCAATCCAGAAGGATAAGGCTAAATTTATTCAAGAAGACCACATTGCAGAACATCTATTTTATCATAGTTGGAATCATTTACAAGTAAATGACTGCAAAGACTAGACACCATCTATCTAATCAAGTAAAATATCTCAGAACTCTTAACAGCTGAATAGGCAAAATAGATTCACTACTGAATTCAGGATAACCAAAATAAAAGAGTGATTTTGACATGAGCCATTAAAATCTTCTCTCCACCCCTTTGTCCAAGCAAAATCTCACTAAAAACTATATTCAGAAAGAAAATTAATCCAATAATTTCATGATGAACTTGTGTTACTTGTGCTCTAGGAAGCACGGATATGGGATCCGGACACGACACGATATGGGTACGGCAATACGACAAATATAAAAATAATAAATAAATAAATAATCTTAACTTTCACCACTCATTTTCTCCTTGTTGCAGCTAATGCCTTCAAGTGTACAGTAAAAAATCTTAACTTTCATATATTCATCATACTACTTATTGTAATTACGTTCAGCGAACTTTCTTGCAGCTCCTCCAACTGGAACATTCTCGTTCTTCATTTATATTGATTCACAATTGCCCACATAATTTTTTTACGATCTCTTTAAAAAACTTCCAAATATTTATCTATATATGTATATGATTACATACCCAGGAAAAAATGTATCTTGACAAATGGTTATTAAACATGTTCAGACTGCCAAACAAAATGAATAAGCACTCAAAATGAAAAAATGTAATATGAAGTTTTTCTCGTTTTCAGAAGAAAAAAAAAAAGAAAAATTTGTGTCAGATTATATAATGCAGGCTATTCAAGAAGAGGGGGGAGGGTTAGAACACTATTTTACATGTTAATATCATCCGAAAAACTTTGCCCAGTCTATGGACATGCATACTACTTTATTAACTCTCCATAAAGGATACAACCATGCTCTGACATTTCGTACCTGGCGAAGAGTCTTTCTCTCGTTTAATGCATACATCTCTGGTTCAGTGAAGCCATTTTCTTTAGCCAATGGAATGGAAGGAGCAGTACTTTTACTAGCCATGTCAAATAATTGGAGTGTATCTTCGTAGCCATAGTGTAGTAAGTAGGAACGGACTATTCTGGTAAATCCCAAACCAATTAAAAAAAAAAGGTCAGAAAAATATAACAAAGTTTAATATACTCAGTATTAAAATAAATATATATATAAATAAAGAGAAAAGAAAGAAACAAAGAAATAAGAAAATTAATAATACTATGATAACCATGTCATTCCAAAGGTAATAAATACTAAGCACTAAAATGTATATTAAGGCGGAGTGAATAGTAGACACCACACAACTTATGGAAAAAAAGATCCATCAGATTCAACTTCAAAGTTGAACAACAGTTTTCTTGAAACGCAAACTCAACTCAACTCAACTCAACTCAATTGAGACTTTTCCCCAACCACTTGGGGTCAGCTAAATGCAGCAATACAAGCATTTTCAACCTGAACCAAACCCATTCATAAGGTAAAAACAATATACTTCGTAAAATTGATTTTTGGAATGTATCTTTAAATAAAACCAATATAATCAACATTCAAGCGAAGTATAACCCTCAGCCTGCGTTTGGTGGGACAGAAAGAAGGGCCATGGATGTAAGAGAGCAGGGATGGAGCAGGCTTCCATTGTTTGGTAGAGGGGAAGGAATGGATGAGAGATGTTCAGGGCCCACCATTTTGCTTCTATTCAAAAGTGGGAGCAAGCGAAGAGAGAAATATCAATATTTGTTGGATAAAATATAAGACTTTTTCATCCTCATTTAAGTGTATTAATTCAAATTAAGGATATAGTGTTAAAATAACGATATCACCTATTCCCTTCCCTTCCCTTCCACTCAATCAAACAAAAGAAGCGATGGACACCCTCCATTCCTTAGGGATGTCTCTTCCTCTTCCTATCTTCCCTTCATTTTTTCATCCTTCCTACCACAAGAAGCATTAAACCTTAATGCGCTTTCAGGTATTACCCCTTCACTTTATCAACAGTAGAAGACTAATGTTTTTAATTTTCCCCAAAAAACAATCATGCAGTCAATCAGACAATCATTCTTATTCCAATGGTTTCCATAAAGCTAAATTAAGAGTTAGCACAGCACCATCAAGGCACATTGCAAAGTTCTAAATTTGTTTCTTCCTTTCCATTATTTTCCCACTTTAATGTCATACCCAGAACTAGTCGGATAGTGTAAATAATTTCCTTGTCAAATGAAACAAGTAAAAACCCCTCCCCCGCTCTATTGAAAGGTCTCCATTCCTCCGGTGATTCCCAAAGTGCTGACGCAAACAAAGGCATCTCAGCAGTTGGTCAGTCAAGACCAGTTGATGACTTCCAAATGGAATGCGGTACAGGCATGAACAGTAAACGAGACATGCTCAGCAGAATTATAGATTTTAATTTTAATCAAGAAAGGACATAAATATGTCAACAAAAAAATCTTATCTTTTTTATAAAAATAAAAACAAAGCTAATATGAAGTAAATATCACAATAGAGCACCAAATGAGGTGCACCCACACACACATGATGTATACATGAGAATTTTAAGATGTATGCTCATCTAACCCAGAAACCGGCTAAGGAATCTAACCCCCCCACCCACACACAAAATAAATAAATAAATTCCAAAATAATGCTCACAGACAAGTTACCAACCCATAGAAGACCTTATATTCCTCACCATCCAGCAAGCACATCCTCTGCCAATCTGTTCCTCTCCCAGTGAGTTCCGAAAAAGAGTAAACAAGTGAGCCCACATATGGCTGGCAACAGGATGATGCAACGGGAAATGACTTCCGCAAGTTATCTGGTGTACTTTTTCCCACCTTCCACAAGAACCAAACCAACTTCCCTGAGCATCCAATAGAAAGATCTCACCTTGGAGATTATGTATACCCCCACCCTTTTCTCTTCTTTTTCTCTCTCTCTTAAACTTTACCACCTCAGCAAACACCTCCTTGACAACCTGAGGATAAAGAACACAAAAAAGGCCTCTCTCTCATCCAATTCTTAATCCACCAAGACTTAAAAGACAAATATTTCCCATCATCCCACATTTTGAAGAGAGGAATATCCGAAACAGGGGGACTACCAATAGTACAGAGTATATTGTATATAAAAAGTTAAGGACCAAAACCTTACCAAACCCATCCCACAAAACCCAAGCTCCTAGGAGAGAGAAAAAAAACAGTCAAGGGGGGCAAAATTGAACCCAGCTACTAAGAGTAACTAGTTAATGTTTCTCTACCTAATGCTCTTCTCATTTGTTTGTTCCTCCACTGTTTCTTCCTCAAGTTGTTTTTCTCCTCTCCCTAAATTCAAATCATTTTCATTCATTTCCTTTATACAAATATCCAAATATACCCTTTACCCTTTCTCCTCTGCAAACAACCTGAATCAAATCACTTTTTCTTTCTAAATCCTCCTCACATGAACTTATTGTATCATCACCACCTCGTTCTCAAGATAGCAAGCAGTCTCAAGGTCTTGAAGTACATCCTACATCATCAACAACTTGACAAAGTTTGGGGGCCATAAAGAAGAACCTAGTGGAAGTAAATGGCTATTGGGTAAATCATTCTTCCAAGCTAGGCAAGAGCAATTTGGATAACGCAACAGCATTAGGTGAAAGACCTGAGAAATATCAGTCGTAGTACATATACCTTCATGAAGAACAGGGAAAAAATGGAGCACAACTATCACAAGGGCGCACTCAGCAAGCTTCAACTTTCAGCAGTTGGATTGAGAGCTCTCGATCCAACGAATGAGCACAATATCACGCAAGAGCGCTCTCATCATAGATTTTTCCAAAAAGATAATAAATATAAGCTTCAAATAGCCAGACATAAAACAAACCAGGGATGGTCATCTTGTCCCATATGACACCTAACAGTTGCATTCCTTTTAATGCTTCCAGTATATGGGTGTTAAATCTGTTCTTACAAATAGCAATACATCAAATTAAGTTCTCACTTCATATTTAAATAAATAAATAAATAAAAATCAATTTCAATACCAATTGCTGAATGTTTCTCATTACCACAAATATTAGACATGTATTGTTTGATCGTAACTATAGTTTAATGCGAACTTACTCATAACTGACATTCTGCGGTAAAGATACATTTTCAATTATCATCTCTTGCTTTGCTCTTTCTTGCGCTTCATATGCCTAATCATCAGATACAGGAAAATAGGAAGGGGGTCAATATCCACGAGAAATATAACATAAACTTTAGCAATTTCTATTGTTTCAAGTTCAGAGATCCAAACTTTCAGTTCTTCAGATCAAAAATTTTGATTCATATTGAACGTCACAACATTATAGAACTAAAGTTGTGATCAGAAAAGAAGGAAACAATGAGTTGTCTGACGTAATAGTACCATTATAGTTCCTAAGAGCCAAAAATGGAAAGTCAGCAAGTTATTATGTCTGCTGAAATTCAAGTGGATGAATAACTCAAAGTAATCACTCCTAACTAGCCCATTTGCAATCTCAAGACATAATTATAGAACCAAGAATACATTTTCAAGATGTAAGTACTGGGGCTTCTTATCAGAAGCATTTGGCTCTTCAACTAATACAGTTTAAACCTTATCTTACCAAAATAACAATATTACTTCTTGAAAAAAAAATTAGCACAATTAAGCAATCACTTAATCGGGTAGGTAGTCGTGACAAGCATACCATGTTCAGAGAAGAATATCATGATGACAAAGAAAGAGAAGTATATTTTACCTTAAGATCGAAACGGAATGGTTCTTTCCCAAAGTTGACACTCACCCTGACATTGAAATTAAACAACAACTACAATTATCAAAACCTCTAGAACTTTGATAATGCAAGAATCTCTATAACTATTTCAATTTTATACAAGTATTGGCACAATTAATGAGTGCAAGAAGAAAAAAGTGCACAAAAGGAAAACTCAAGAATATAGCAGCCATAATGTTTCCCTCACAAACATATCAGAAAAGCTTCTTAAATTTAAGCCACTGCCCACCAAATACAAAGCAGAATGAGAGAGAGGAAGGTAGGAAGAGAGAGAGAAAAGAATATGCAAACCATATATTAAAAACTAAATTTGTAAACTATCAACAATAGAAGCTTATCCGCCCACGCAAGACATTACTTAAAACAATTATTTTAAACAATTATTTTCAAGCAGAAAAGTCATATTCTACGACGACGACTTAGCTGTTGCACTGTTGAAGAATGGTATTATGTGCACGCTCCAATATTATGATGTTTGAAACCAATGTTAGTATGTAATATCTCTTTGTAGGAAAAGAAAATGTGGGTGGTTAAGACGCAATCATACATCAGTTAATTGTTAAATTCCATTTTTGATCCGCAAACAAGCTATAACATTGAGAATCTTACAACATGGAATGTACCAGTAAAACGTGAACTTTAAGGCCAAAATGTAGAAAAATATATTGGACATACATAGGCAACAATACCAATAATCTCATCTTTAACCTATTGAATTTACATATGATAACACTAGAGGTAGAAATTCGGGTTAATAGGTCGTATTTGTGTGTCGAAATAAGGGCACATTTTGTTATATGGACCAACCCGAATGCAAACCTGCTAATTAAACGGGCCAAGTATTCTTGACACGGTTGTGTTCAGCAAAATAAAAAAAAAACATTATACGAGTTGTAAACCTATAATATGGAGTCACATGACCAATTTAATAATCTATTCAATATTTTTTCTTAATTATAAAATGCAAATATAACCAAAAAATTATTGTTAGGGGATTTAAATGTTAAAGAGTGTAATTTTAATATTTAAATCCTTCAACACGCCCCTTCACGTGTGGCCTTCTTTTGGCCCAACACATGTTTCAATTTTAATTATCACGGTGACGGTAAGGTTTGAACACAAGACCTTGCCTGCTCTGATATCATGTTAACAATCATCTACACTAAAAGCCCTAATAAACTAAAACTTATGAACTGACTAATTCTTTATTTTTTCTTAATATATAACACAATTAACCTACGGTTCACTTTACCGTACTAACTGAAACATATTACATATTATACTGGTTGAAATGGGTCACTAGTCGATTCAGGCTAACCCTACATGACTGTAACACAATAAATTTAACGGATCAAATTGGATTAAACAGGTTGAGTTTCAAAACCCAAACATGGCATGATTGAATAAACAAGTCAATCAGGTTGAGATGAACCCAATTGAGGTCAATCCAAACACACTAAATTTTTGTTGGATTCAAATCATGTTGAAGGATTGAGTCAAATTCTGTCACCCCTAATTAAACCAATTCCTAGCACGTGTAGTAAGACGAAGATAGACTATTAATATCCCACTGCCCAAAAAAAGAACAAAGAAAATGTGAAGAGCCACAATAATTCAAATATTTTTAATGGGATTAGGTCAAATTGATAGTAAGTGCAAACCAATGGCCTCATTTCACTCCAAGTGTAACACCAATAAAACAACACATCTCTATATTCATTCTAATTCATCATTGTTGATAAAGAGTTGAAATAATAAGTGCTGCTCAGTGGGAAAAAAAAAAAAAAAAAAAGAATTGGAACCTAAGTTCATCAGGTATCAAACCTGAATCAAAACAAGATAGAATTTTATTGGTAACGGCCAGATAGGTTGGTTCCCAAACACTAAGGTTACGTCCTATTAGAGTGCTCAAGGACCCATTCGGACACATAATATGTAGACCTAACCAGGTGCTAGTCCTTTATTTGCCCACACGTACCCAAGACTTCCTTTTCCTTCCTTTCTTTTTTTTTTTTTTTTTTCCCCTCTTTTTTTTACCCTTTTTAAGTCCAAAGGCAAGAATGTGCTAAGACGACAATTAGCAGTCCCCATAATCATAAAACCCTCAACTCTAATTAATACATGATTCTATCCTATATACCAAACAACATATCAAGACACAAATAGGCACCAATTTTTTATTTGCCAGTACATAACTAAGACTTTTCTTTTTCTTTTTCCCTTCTCTGGTACAAAGGCGATATTTGACTACACAATTGTGCATAGCTCTCTCCCCCGTATTCATAAATCCTCCAACTTTGTTAAAGATTGGATTCCATCCCATGCTTGCTGATACAGACACCTCAAGATTTTACTAGCAAGTTAAATAACACTGTTGGCATTTGCAAGACATCCAAATCCCTAAAAGAATAAGTAATTTTGGGTCCAGCCACTTCAAATGTGTTGTATGGTACTGGTAACTCAGCCTCACATTGCCCTGATTCAGACAAACTCGGGGAAGTGTGATGAAGAACCGGACATGGCCCGAGAGCTTGAAGTACACATGGTCCACAGCTACCATCGGAGACATGGTAAAGACAGATATTAGGTTTGATTTTCATTGAATATTATTATTATATTAGTATGTTTTGATTTTAGAGATATTTTAGTAGCTTACTATTTTATGGTTTTATTTATGGTATTAGGGTTCGATTAGGGTTTTCTTGCTGCCTATAAATATGTGGTTTGATTACATTATTAAGGTACCTTTTTATGTTGATAATTAAATATATTGAGATTGGCATCAAAGTGTTAAACAAGGTATGGCAAGAAAAGGAAGTCATGTCAACTAAGATTCGGGGCAAGGTCAAGGACTTTGGTGGCCCTAACTCACCCACCCAGATTATGCAACAATTAGACAATAATACCCCTACTATTTTTCAAAATGCCGAAATTGTAATATTCTAAATAATCTCATTTAGGGTGTCTAGCTTTGCAAGCTGCTTTCCAAACTTCATCTCTCTCGTCTGTCATCTCTCTCATTGTAATCCAGCCACCATCATCTTCCATAACCATCACCATTCACCAACATGGTGTCCATCCATCACCATCAAATCTCAATCCCCCTATCCATCATCGTTTTCAATCATTGTAGTAGTTGTGTGACCACCTTTTTTATCCTTAATTTTTTTATTTATCATTTTTTCTTCCAATGATGTCCGAAGTAAATATGCAATTCCAATCAATCTGATCATCTCCTCTGGTGATTTTGTCTCTCTACATTTTTCATGTTACTGTAACTTCTTGGATATTATTTCGTTCATGCCTTGTTGGTATCTTTTAACTTCCATCAGACAATGTTTGGACGCTTAGAAAGTTTAAGTAAAAGAAACTAATGGGAAATAAAACCTTGCGCTTTAAATAGTTTTGTGGCGCGCGGCAGGATGCTGGGAACTGGTTGAAAAGGTTCCTTCAAGATTAAAATAAGAACCCTGTATTGTATTCATGGCGAAGTCATGGAGATAGCCTTCCCTACTCCCTAGCGGGCAGGGTCGAGATACAGTGGCCCCATCCCATGCCTGTTGCCACTCCTAGCTGCTTCTCATTAAACCTTCATAACCATAAGCAGTTTCATTTCACCTAATTATTAGAACTGCTAAGGCAACCAGACACTTGATTTATTAAACACTGGCATCAAAGGTTACACATCAACAAACATTGAGAGGTTTTCAAATGCAAAGTATCAATTACTCCAAGCAATAGAATCACAATATGATTAATTACATTTAAATAGTGGAACAAAACACACAAATACTGTCATTAATATTTTTACTGTTTAAATCATGCATAATATGAGAAACGAGCAATAGTTTTAGCACATACTCTTCATTTTGACTGTGAACAGCAACAGTAGGATATAAGGGAACCTTCACATCCTTGTAGACTGTTCCTACAATAACCCCGTTTCTACTGGCATCAAGAACAACAAATCAAACATCTATGAGAATTTTGAGAGGAAAAACTACAAAAATAAATAAATAAGTCAAACATATCTAAACAGGAGCCAACTTAAAGAAGCCATATTTTTAGTTCTCAAAATTCTCCATGCTCACAATCAAATCATGTACATATGAAGCAACACTTCCATTATGAAAGCAAGCACAAAGTACAAAACCATCTTACGTGAAAAATAAGTCCTGTGTAGCATAGTTAATACCACCTCCAACTGTATCACCAGCCTCAAATTTTGCGGCAAAGTCCTCTACATTTCCTTGTCCATGAAAAAACTTTCCCTCTTCCCCATGATACCCATAACTGTTTGCTTCCCATCTGTCACATGGACGAAAAAGAATAAGAGGAATCTTAAATCAACAAAATAAATAAATAAAAATAACACTTGTCAAAAAAATAATAATAACAACTAAAAAATAACAAGGCATGCCATAATCAGCTGAATTTTTCAATCCTCATGTGATATGAACAACAATAAAGCTATAAGAAGAGCAGAATATCTTTTTCTTCTTGGAGGTAGAGCTGTGATATGAGCTTCAAAATACTCAGCACAACAGTTTTGAACCACCTTCATGTTCTCCAAAGTCCAAACTAAGGCCGGAACATCACCAGCCTGCTGCATCTTCATATACTATTTCAACAGAAACAAGATCCAACCATTCGATGCCTTGATCATGTTATTGTCTTCATCTAGTAACCTCAATTTGGATGAAGCACACAAAAACAAAACTATTTAATTTCTAGTTAATTTTGCACCAAGTTAGTCGAATTCAACCTTTCTATCTATGTTACATGGACTATTCAAAATATGTGAAGTACCTGTGTTGGACACACAAAATTGGACATGAGCATGGGATATGTGTCCGATACCTTTGGTTAGACAAGCACCAAAAAAGACATATCTAATAATTCAATTTTATTATACAATACTTCAAAATGAGTGAAATGCCTATATTGAAAATTATGTTACATAAAGACATTTTTTACTCTAAAAAATAAAATGAATATTAGCAATGTAATGTCCATGTGTCCTTTTGTCTAGGGATCTGACATGTCCAATGCATGGATACATACCAGCATCCGACACATGTACCCAAGTCCATGTAACATAGCTTTCTATACAACTAATTTATTGTACTTATGAAGCTAAACAATTTTAAGCAAACGAACTATGAAAACCTTGAAACCATTGTAGGCACTGTTACACTATGAACTTGTTTGTGGTTGTCTCAACACTCAGATTAAGTTTTCTGTTGCTTAGGAATGTGATGTCTTCCCTGGATTTGAGCCTAAAAGAAAGCCTTTTTAAAAAAAAAAATTGTTAGAGGCCATGGTACCTGCCTATATCAGACAGCTATAAGCCTATAGCAGGCCTTTTGACAGAGAGTCACTCATAATAAATATCCGTCATAACACCGCTACTATCAATCTTTTCACTCCTAAACTAAGGTGGTGTTTGATAAAACTGAGAATTAAGTACTCAAAATTGTAAATGCTGAAATTTTTAAACGGTAATTCAAAATTGAGATTTTTTTATATCTTGTTGAATTTTAAGTGTTCAACATTCAATGATAAGTGAAGTCATTGTTGCTTAAAATTCTACGCATTACCTTTTTAAGTGGTATTCAAATTGTTTATCAAACACACTTAATTTGATAAACCCTTCAGAATTAAGTGCTCAATAGGGTTATCAAACAGCACCTAAAGGCCTTTTTCCCCTAAATTTTCACTCATCCTCAAGAAGGATCCTCTCCCGCACAGAGATTAGCTGAACTTTGATGGTACATATTTAGGGAATCCGGAAAAGTAGGATGATGGATGACATTTTTTAAAGAACATTGTGGTAATTAGACTGGCGGGTGAGATTTCGGCAATTAAAACAAATATTAATGTTCAGTGTATGCGAAAAGTTGTAGGGTGGGAATTTTTTTTTTTTTTTTTTTTTTTTTGCCTTTTTGGTAACTAAGCTTGTGAGATATCATTAATCAAAATTTTGAATTGCAATTTACTCTTTCTAGGCTCTTGAGCAGCATGGAAATTCAACACATGAAGTATAGGACATCTCTAGTAGTCAAATTCTCTAGAATTTAAGATGAGAGAGAACCCCCACCAAATCAACAAGGACTAAGAAGCAGGCTAATTTCTCAACCACAAAGCGGTAAGTGACTTCCCCGTCTTAAGCTTGTTTTTGTTTGTCTTAGTATTCTATATTGTTTTGGGTTGCTTAATTTGCTTAAAAGCCTAGAATGGCATGGTATAATTGTTCTATTTTTTCTCTCCTTAGAGAGGACACGTCATCCTTCCTTCAAAGGGACAATAAATACCTGATAGCTAATGTAGTGTGCATGTTATGAATAACTTTTCCATAGAAATAACAAAAAGTAAGTTGGTAGTGACGATAATTTGTAACTCAACATGTGAGATATCATATTACCGTTATTAAAAACATAAATAATAAACATAAAAATAAATCTTTTGATGAATCAATTCAAATTTCAAATGATTTAAACTAAAATTATACCTAAAAGATTCTAGATAAGTACTTTTGTGTAGGGATGGGACTCAGACGGGTTTGGAATACCAAGGGGTCAATCCGCGCCAAACCCATGTTACTGACCTCTTATCCCCGCCATCCCATATGGGTTCCTTGGGTTGTTCACGTTACTCAGATTGTCAAAAAAAAAATCAAAAATCAAAAGAAGTTGAATGAGTTACTCGTGTAAATATAACATACTAATCAAATATATATATCTATAACATACTAATCAAATATATATATCTATAACATACTTACCTATGTATATCCAAATTACCTGTACTAGAGTGTCATATTAGTCACATTAACTATTGATAAAATCAGCCATACAATTATTATTATAACATAGACAATAATTTATAGCCATAACCAAAAAAATACGGACAGCCATTACATGTTTCAAACTTTCAAAACATGTAATATAACCGAAGGGTAAAACATGTAACTTCAACCTTAATTTATTAACTTCTCATATTATAAATCTAAAATTATATGAAATTTTCTTACACCAGTTTCCCAGGTAGGAGGAATTTTCGCCCAAGTCCCATCCAAAATGAATTCGGACTCCTAAAATTGAACTCGATCCCGATTCCGATATCTCAAATACCCTACCCATTCCCGCCAATTTTTCAGGTTGTGTTTAGTTTGTTGGGGTTAAGCACGCCCAAGTCCACCCCCAGTTTTGTGTTAAGTGAACAATAGCAGAGAGGTGGATTTTCCCTTCCACTTGGGGGATTTGTGCAATGGGTCAGAGAAAAAAATTAATTCATCACTTACTTAGAAAGTTGCACCCCAGTTTTGTGTTAAGTGAACAATCTCTGATTTTAAGATGCAGTTTTTGTAGTATTTAGGGAACAATTTGTCCAGAATGGAATATCTGAGTCCAATCTCTTTTCTCACTTTCATGGCTTTCCTGATACCTTTTTTTTTTTTTTTTGATAAGTAAAGTATATTAGAAAAGCATTCAAAAGGGGAACGCGTCCCTAATACAGAATTTTTTTGTTTTCTTTTTTTATAGGCAAGAAACTCACTCACACACCCACTTTGCCCTTAGGGGGACTTGAATCCTCGACCTTCTACTTTGGAAGGTGACAAAATACCATTTCTTTACCTATAAGATTGGAATTTCTGAAATGTCTTTGCTTCATTTACATCTCTTATCTTTGATTCACCAAATCTTTTTTAAATTCAAGTATTTTCTATGGCTTCAACTCTTCTAATAGCCTATATATTTCCTTATAAGCACAAAATAGTCGTACAATCTTATGAGAAGAAACATTTATCATTGGCTGAATGGCTCAATAGTCAGTTGGTTCCTCTATGAATGTGAAAAATCAACAGATTTATTTATGAAATATTAGGAAACCCGAACCCTGTTTGGCTGCATAAAGGAATTAAAAAGGCATGCCAGACATTTTACTCTTCTGAAATCTAGAGAAAAGGGAATATATACCTAATTAAACCATAAAGTCATATAGGACCGATTAAAAGGGGGTTCCTTCAGTTATCTAAGGTTTCGAATACAGAAGAAAACAAATAGATCTGTATAATAAAATATAATTTCTTTGCTTCACCTACAATATCCGAGTAAAAACAATGTAGCACAATTAAATCATTATATTCAAAATCAGCCATCACTTTCAACTTTTTGGACAAAAAGAGAGAAGGAAAGAAAACCCTCGCTATCCCAACACAATAACTATCAAATAGTATACTCAATTACAATCCAGCCGTCATTGAAAATGTAGTCTCCACGCATCAAATAAAAATGCAGTGCCTGCTTGGTTTATAAACTGTTTTCATAGATTTATTTATTTTTTTACCATTTTTGACCTTATAGTTTCATAGATTTTCCCTCGTTTTCTTAGGAACCAAACATACGACCAGTAAAATTTTCCCTCAAGATTGAAGATACTATAAAGTTCAGCAGAATGTAGAGTAATAGAGCTTGAAATTAAATAAATCCCACAGGACTCGTCCAATTATGAAGATCAATTGACAACTACCATACAATACTCAAATATATATTTACAGCTATATAATATATACACACATATATATTCTTACCCGGGTTGTCTGCGCATGTTGTAACCCTCGCAAGTGAATCCGATGGCAACCTTGCCCTTGGCGCCATGATTCTTGACAAACATCTCGAAGTAGTAGACGAGTCGCTTCACCGGAGCGGGTCGATTCGCCTGAACGGCGCCGACGTCGTGTTCGTGCAAGTTCACACTGGAGTACTGAACCGTGAGCCTATCGGGCAACACCACCGCGAAACCTCCGGAGCTGTTGACTGTGTCGAGCTCCGTCGGAACCTCCTCTTCTTCCTCCATTTCCATGTCTGTCCAAGCCTTCGAGTTCAGCTTGCACATCTCGAGAAAGTACGGGCCAATGAGGTCTTGCTGATCGCTCACCATTTGCAGAGATTCAAGTGAACATTTACGCAAACAAAAACCCTAGATTTCAAGTTCTTGGTAGTAAACAAAGCCCTAGAAATCAATTCGAAACCCTAATTCTTATATTTGTCTTGCTATAGTTAGGAACGATCAAAGAAAGGATTTCTTGATACCAAAGGGAAGTGAATAACGGAGAAAGAATCTTTTAACCACTGCACATCTCGGAACGGTATACGGAACCAAGTATTTATATGGGTCTGTTACTTACACTGACCTCTACCAGTGTTGGCAAATTACACACGATAGTTACTGACTTTAAAACATTGGAAGTGAACAAATGTCCTTATATTATAATAATAAATTAGAAAATAGTAAAATTATCATTTTGTAAAATTTAACCACGTGCCTTCTTAAAAGAAAAGGGGGGTGTCTTTGGAGAAGCTACCGGTTACGCCCGAGCATCGCATCAAGTTTATTCGAACTATATGTACACAATTGGTGCTTGTGTGTGTACAATATTTATGGTTTGAGTGAGTATGGTACGTAATGTTTCGGACACACTCAATATCTATTCATGTCATAAAGCATAAATTACAGAGAAAAAATAATCTACCAAAGTATATTTGTTCAAACCACTGAGGAATGAATATAATTTACTCATTATATATTAGCTGTGCTCATAAATGGACCCAGAAACATAAGTTTTGGATGGGGGTAAACGTGAATTTTTTTAATAATTTCACTGGGGCAATAGCGTAACTTGATAGGTATCTATCAAAATCCAAAAAATATTTAGGGTATAATGCTTAAAAAAAAAAAAAAGGGTTAATATTTGTACTCCACTTTTATATAATCCACGTTCATTATTTTAAAAAAAAAAATTAACAATAACCACCATGAGCTCATTAATACTTCACCCATTATTTTATAATACCATAACTACATTTTTTTAATTTAAATTTTAGGATAAATTGCATTGACATTCCCTGAGGTTTTGGTCAACGCCACTTAGAGGATAATCAATGGCTCTTTTTACATTGACACCCCCTGAAGTTTCAAAAATATACATTGACACCCCTCTAGACATCTGAAACTATATGAAATGTTTTTACACCATTTGACTTGTTTACAACTCCATTTAAATCATAAAATTATAAATTTAACCTCCTAACTAAATTTAATAGACCAAACTAACCCCTTCTTCTCTCTTATACATATAAATATGATTTATATATAATAATACTTATACCACCATAACCACCAACGCAACATAAAAATAAAATATATATATAATTTGTTTTTAAATAGCTAGATAATTGTAGACCACCATAACCACCACCGCAATATAAAAATAAAAAATAAAAATTTTAATAGCCAGATATGTACACCACAACATAAAAATAAAAATTAAAAATTAAAAATAAATTAAATTAAATTATTTTTTAAAATAATCAGATAGCTGTACACTGCCACCATATAACCACCACTACCACACCCAAAAACACCACAGTAGAAGAAAAAAAAAATATAAAAAAAAAATTATGGCGAACCCATACTTCTATGTGCCAAATGCCACCAATACTACCACCACACCAAGGCATAACCACCAACACACTCAGACTCTACCAGAACCATCACCACCACAATAGAAAAAATAAAAATAAATTTTTGAAACACGCACCTTGATAACCTAGACACCACCTCAACCATACCTAAACCATACCACAATAACCACCACCAGAGTCATAGCCAGCCTAGACCCACCAAAACAAGGAAAAAAAAAAAAAAAAAATGGGCAACCATATGCGAGATCGGAAAGAGAGAGAGGGAGTGTCGGCGGTTAGGTAGTAAAATGAATCAAAAAAAAAAAAAAAAGGTTAAAGATTAAGGTAAAGAAAGAGGCTTAATAATGAGAGTAGTTTTGTAAATTAATTGAATTAAATCATTAGGGGCAAATATGATATTTGAAATTATAGGGAGTGTCGTTGTTAAAAAAATCGTTGACCCGCATCTAAGTGACATTGATTGAAACCTAAAAAAGTGTCAATGCAATTTACCCTAAATTTTAACTTCTTTTTTTAACTTTATTTACTCTTTTTTTTTTTTTTTTTCTTTCTAACAAAAGATATCATTTAGGAACGACATCCATAAAAAAGTTACTTACTTTTTACCGGTAAAAAAAAAAAAAAAAAAAAAAAAAATTAAAAAAAAATATGGTCAGAAATAAAATAAATTACGACAAGGTTAAAGGAGGTTAAGAAACAGCAGAATATAGACTTGACCAAACATCTCGCAACTTGGCCAACAACATCAGAAGCTCTTTTTCTTAATAGTCAAAGTGGCATGCATTGCTATTGGGGCCTTTTGATAAATGATGACCATTAAAGAAGTGATAATGTAAAAGCAACATCTTTGTTAATGAATAATTCATTATTTTTTTTTATCTTTCGTAGTGGTATTCAAGCACCATCATCTCTTTTACTGTTATTCTTACGATAGAATGCAATGAACAGTTTTTATTTTATTTTTATTTTTTTTGTTCTTTTCACAAAATCTATCTCATTGTGATTTTATTGTCAAAATATATTGGACTTTTATCATCAATTAGGTGAAATTCAATATTCAAAACATTCTAAATTAATTCTTAAAAACTCATAGAAAAAAAAAAAAAAAAAAAAAAAAAAATCCAAACTCAACGCTTACCACACGAAAAAAAAAAAAAGGACAAAAAAAAGACAAAAATGCGAGAGATCTAAAATATTAAATATTAGAGAGAGGGAAATAAAAAATATAGTTTCAGATATATTTAACATGAGGACTTTTAATTCCCATGTCAGTTTAAGCATTGGAAGCCAAAGGCGTTAAATTATCTGCTTTCTTATACTTCTTTGAAGACAAAGACATCAAAAAAAAAAAACAAAAAGGTTGCAATGCGTGTTTTGCTTCAACTGAATTGACAGGGATGGAGGAATTAGCATTTTGCAATACTCTATGGAGAGAGGAGGGCGTGGTTTTGGGAATCGATGAAAAAAATAAAATAAAAAAAGAGAAAGGGTGGTTATCAAATTAAAACGGGTCGATCGGACTTTCTCTTCATTTTTTTTATAATTTTGCTGATTTTGTTATTAAAATTGATCTGTTATTTTTTTATTGGAACACGCAAGAATGAGTAGGGTGAATGAGTAGTTAAGCATTGTCCTAATATATATATATATATACACATCAGAGGAAGAAATTTCTGACTACGCCACTGTTTAAAAGGATAGCTGTGGTATTCAAAAATAATAATAATTTAATTATGAAGTTATGTTTAAAAGTGTTACTTCATTTAAAATTGAAATCCAGTTATATGACAATGGACTGCAATATGACTCCGTGCTTGCGTGTGCTCCTTTGTAACAAATTTTACACTCGCGTCTACCAGGAGTCTTTGACTCACTTGAGTGAGTTATTTTTCTATTGAATAGTTAAGAAAAGAGTCAGAAATAAAAAAACTGTAATAGTAATTTTTTAAGAGATAGTTAAAGGTTAAAGATACAGTAATGTTCTCGTTATCGATTAATCATTTAAAATAATCTATATTTTATTTAATTCATAGAAAACTTCTTTTTGGTAAGAGTAATGATATTTGCACAAAAAAGTTAAGCAGAATTATTAGACCTATTATATTTAATTGGTCAATACATGCCAAATATAAAAAGTGGGACCCTTAACTTTCTTATCAAATGCATATATAGAGGAATCAAAATCCTTTCCAAAGCTATAGTCCTCTTGTTTCAGCCGGTGAACATTGCGTGGCTCTTGTTAAGCCACGTCGCTGCCCAAATAAGTCTATTTCAGTTCAGTTCACGTCTTGTCATCAAATTCCTCTCATCTTCTCTTCGTTCCCTTCTTCCTCTTCTCCCGTTCCGGATCAATTTTAGTTCCATCAAGGTCATTGAGTTAATTTCAATTAGTGAATGTAAGTATACAAATATACAAAACCTTTAACATAACAACTTAAACGTAATATGTTTCAAACACGAATTATATGTGACACACCAAATTTCCCGTAACATATATCACTTAACGCCTTTAACATAACAATTTAAATCTAACCTATTTCAAATACGAATTATATGTGTCATCCCAACTTTTTGTGACATATATCACATAAAAGCATTTAACATAACAATTTAAACGTATCATGTTACAAACATAAATTATATGTGACATCCCAACTTTCCCGTAACATGTATCACATGGTCTTTAACATAACAATTTAAACTTAACATATTTAAAATATGAATTATACGTGGCATCCCAACATTATCGCAACATATATCACATAACGTAACAACATAAATGTAATATGTTTCAAACACGAATTATATATAACATCCCAACTTTCTCGTAACATGTATTATATGTTACTTTCGTAGTGTCAATGGATTTTAATACATTCTTTAATGACAATATTAAATTGGGTTAGAAAATCATGACCACATTTCAAGTTGTTTTGATACATAAATGTAAATAATAGGTAAAGATTTTATATAATTATAACATCCCAATATGTTTTTTTCAATCTCAATTAAAGAGGTAGTTGCTATAAAACTTGGTTTTTAATTTAAAATCACTCGACTCACCTTACTTTAACCTTGTGACATATCTTACAATATATTGGACTCACCTTATGTTAAATTTGTGATGCAAATATACGGTATACTTGCTTATACAAAATTCTATTGAAGAGAAAAAAATGGGTCACAAGAATAACTATGTAATCACTTTTCTCTTGGGTTTCTGTAGAGAGAAAAAAAACGAGTTTGATTTTGGTTGGAGAAATAGTAGACTATACATTTGAGGTGAAGAAGATGAAAAAAAGATAAAAAAAAATAAGCTGGGGTTTGAAATTTAAAAAACATGTCAATTGTTGTCTAGTGGACCCGTATGTATAAGAGGCAATAAACAAGTATGGTATTCTCTCCTAATACATTACTTTATTACTTTGTTGCCTTTTCAATCATTTACCTTCTGTATTTTTACTTTTCTAGGCTGGGACAGATGTCTTGTAGTTCCGGAGAGGATTTCACTCCTATACAAAGAGAGTCGGATGTATGCTTGCTCAGAAAAATTGTAGATAAACTATTTTCACTTTAAATTTGTGACGTTTAAGTCACAATTAACCAATCATACTGTTGCGCTTTTAGACACAGTCTTACCTAAAAAATGCAGAGAACATATTTTAATTTCAAACTCGTGACTTTCAAGTCACAATTAAGCAACCATAC